AAGTGTCCAAGCCTGAAAGATTTACCTCAAAGAAATGTGGGAAAAGCCAAAACTTTTGTCTGTATTTATTAAGAACAGTATAATCTTTGGCTCAGCCCTGACCCTACAGCAGGTCCTGACTTCCTCTCCAGCTTTTCCTAGCATCCTCAACCTCTCTGGCCACTCACTACTGGAACAGAACACTCCTCTGCTTCTCTCCTAGGAACTCCCTGTCTACCACGTGAGTGCTAGGACCCATCTCCAGGGCCTGCAGCCTCAGCTTCTACCCATGAGCCTGCCGATAGCATCTTTCCACAAATGCACACCTCTTGTTACTAACCCCCCAGAGAGCGATATTTACTTGATGTTTTTCAGAATAAAAATCACTCAGTTATAATTGCTGCAAAATAAATTCTCAGCCATGAGTATACATGTCCTCAGAGAAAACAAGATGTAAAAGTAAATACGACTGTAAAAGTCTGCTGCTCATTCATAGTTCTGTCCTCTCCTGGACCTCACCTGCAATAGCAGGCACCAAAAAGGATAATTTAATATTTAAAAAATCATATTTGTGAAATCACATTTTCTTTGACTTTTTACTTTACTGGAGGAAAAATGTGTTCTGAAGAGTGTGTTTCTCAAAGGAAGAGATACGTTATGGGCATTTGAGGCAAGACAGTTTTTCATTGTGCCAGACTGTACCACACACAGTCTGAGATGTTCAGTGTCCTTGGACCTACCCAGTGAGAGGGATACAGTTGCCTTCAGGGATGCAGCATGGATGGCAACCAACTACACCTTGTCATTGTCTCTCTGGGAGGGAGAAGGAGGTCACTCCCATTGGAATAGGAGCCCAGAATATAAATTCAGTTGCAGAAAAATAGAATTACTTTTCTTGCACATGAGTTTGTGGATGGAGGTTGGCACTCATTAACTCCTGTCTCATGGAAAGAGTTCAGGACTAGGAGTCGGCCTTCCATGAATGAGGGTACAACACGCAAGGGAGCACCAGTCATATCGTACACATTGTAGACTCATATGTTTTTTAAGCCAAGTTTTCCCATTAATAGAAATCTCTTGAGAGAGGCACCTTTTCCCAATGCGAGCAAAGATGCCATATGGACTAGAGGCTGCCCTGGCAGGGAGTGTGAAGACCTTGGGACCTATAATTTCATTAGATGAGTCACTTAATCGCTATGCACCATATCCCCATCTTTCAAAAGGGTGTAAAGCAAACCTGTTAGAGGACTGGTAAGACAGCTGGCTGAAAAGATAAACACTAAAAGGAAGATAAACACTAAAAAGAAAAAAAAAATCCTATGTTTTAGAGAAAATAAATGCATGATATAACTTCCAGTTTTTAAAATTTTTGAAAAAAAGAAAGATCACGGGGTTAAGACAGAGGTCCCCAAACTATCTTAGTTCATAAGCCCTTAATGCCTCGGTCATTTTTTTACTTTACCCTGTAGATCTAAAGAAATACTGAATAGATCTGTTTATCACATAGTAAGGTCCAAACAACTTAAGTATTTCTGTCTCAAAAACTCAGTAACTTAAAAAAAATGCATATAGATTGAAAGAAACAAATTTTCATATCATTCTTAAATAATCACACTTACTGATGAATGTGTGCCAGTCTAGTACAGCACAACTTCTCAAACCTGGGATCCAAATCGCATGCTGCCACCAGCATTTCCTGTTCCATGTCAAGTTTTGAGGTACTTCCTTTCCATTGAAGCGACTTTCAAAAATCTAGCTTTCCAATGATGTGACATCATCTAAAGCAATGTAGTGCAATCTTACATTGAAATATGTGAACTACCCCAAGCTAGTATGTTGTGTAATGTCCAACAGATGTTAAGTTTCTCTGTGTTTCCCTCAAAATTTGTCCCATGACCCCTTGTGAGTTTGCTGTGGCATCTCACTCCCAGAATACCTCTGTGCACTATTTACGACAAAGAGATCAGAACAATGAAACATTAGACACCTTGAAATCAACTGTGGTAAAGGTGTTTATAATGGCCCGTGGCTCCGGAGAGATATAATTAAGTGAAAATTCCAGTACTTAAGAGCCTGTTTATTTCCTCTTGGGCACTTGAGATAATGTCTTCAGAAACATTTTGAAAATGCTAAGGTGTTGTAACGACAGTATTTGTAGAATCAGCTGGTGAAAGAGCTGTCTGCTAGAACGTAAGCTCCTAGAGGCCAGGGAGTTTTCTATCTTCAAATGCCTGGAATAGTTCCTCACATATACTAGCTCCGTAATAAATATGTGAGGAATTAATGGATGAAAGAAACATGAACTCATTGTCGTTTTGAACCCTTGGTATCTTTAAGAGTCATAGAGTTGGCTCAGGTTTCACGCATTTCTCTGGATGTCCTTGACTTGGTCAGTGTCCTTCCAAATGAAACATAAGCTTAATATGGTTAGAAATCATACAAGGGGTCTTCAAAAAGTTCATGGAAAGATTCGTATTTTCTCTTAGTACTATGTGCTGCAAACTTTTTGAAGTACCCTCGTATTCTCACCACCATCTTACTTTGCCTTTCTGTAAAAAGATTAAATGAACCACTTACTGAGCACATGTGTGTGGCAGGCGGTTTTACATACACAAGATAATACGAATCTTTCCATGTATTTTTGAAGACCCCTTGTATGAGAAAATGTAGGTAAAGCACTTAGTGCTGGCCGGCCCGTGGCTCACTCGGGAGAGTGCGGTGCTGGATGGGTTCGGTTCCTATATAGGGATGGCCGGTTCGCTCAGTGGCTAAGCATGGTGCTGACAACACCAAGCCAAGGGTTAAGATCCCCTTACTGGTCATCTTTTTTTTTTTTTTTTTTTTAAAAAGCACGTAGTGCAATGCTAGGAACATAGGAAGTATAAGTGAGAACTATTATCCTAATAGGTCATTTTCACCTAACTTGGCTCATCTCAATCCTTTCTCTGAAGATGAGTGTCAAGGCTGATGACTAGAACAGTACATTATATGCCCCGGGCACACGCTACCTCTGCAGTGGCCTGAGTGCTCTTCCGCTAGATGTCCACTATCTTCCTGTAAGTCTTTGCTCAGACTCACCCCCTCAGTGAGGCCTACACGGTATTCCCTATTCATAATCGCACATCTCCTTCTAATATGCTGCTTTCTGTGTCATTTAGTTGCAGTGTCCTCACGAGAACATAAACTCCAGGAGGGAAGAGATTTTTGTCTGTTTTGTTCACTGATGCCTGAGAGTGTAGATTGGTGACCAACACCCGGTAGGCACGCAATAAATATTTGTCAAATTAAACTGACTTGATTTGAATATGTTCCCACTGAATTTTATATCTCTTAGTCTGAGTTCATTTAGTTTGTCAGCATGATTTTGACCAATGATTACCTGCTTCCATCTTGCATCTATAAGTGTGATCCATCACCCACATACGATGCAACCAGCAATCATGTAGGAAAGCTTCAGGCATGCAGCCCAGTTCAATCAGAAGCTATGTGAACCTTGGCAATTTACATAGCTTCTCTGTGTCTCCGTTGCATCACCTATACATGGGGATTAAAACCATCTCTTCTCCATAAAACTGTTGTGAGAATTCAATGAGGTGATGCTCATGAAGTGCCCAGAACACATCCAATAAATATTACCTATTTTGATTACATTTACAGCCCAGTCCAGGACCCTTTCCTGCTGGCATCTCAATTGCTTCCCTGCTGTGCTACTCGTCATCTCCCCCACCCACCCCTTCTTTTATTTCCCACCCTTCAACTGATGTCAAGGTCCCTCTTCAACTCTAACTCTCCTCTTTTTTTTTTTTAAGCATTTGCCTTTTGCCATTTACCATTAGGCAAACTAATTTCAGAAATTCCAGTTAACTCCCAGACTAACTTGTGTCTCAAATAAGGTTTCATGTTTTAACAATATGAGTCTAAGGAAAATTCCCATGGGAACAAGAGGAAAAAAATTTCTCACAAGTTATTTGGCTTTAATTCACAATTATGTTAATACTATCATTTATCATATAATTCACTCCATTTCAAGTTTTGCTTTATTTTGTTTTTTAAAGAGTTGCCTCCTTAACTTCTGGTGCTTATATTATTTTAAAGACAAAATAATTTCAAGTCTTATAAAGCAATTTTTGCCTTGAAATTAATTTAGAAATTCCCTAATATACATATGCTCTCTGAGCTTCATTCCAAAGCCAGAGGAAAAGAAAATATCCCATTCCCTGCCAGGGCTGTGCCATCTTATCTTGAGCTGGGAAGTCTGCCCTTCCTCATGCCACTCAGGGAAAGGAGGCTGCCAGGGAATTTGGCTAAAGGTGGGGGGTAAAACGTCCAAAGGATTAAATTTCCGGCTCCCAAAATAACCCTTGAGTACTCCTGCCACCTCCAAATCAGGCTTGCATGCTTCTTCACTCTGGCAGAGCGCCATCTCTCTGGCCTGATCCTGGGGGGCCTTGATGAGCCATAGATGCCCCTCCATCTCCACAGGACAGCCCCCTAAAGAGGCTGGGGAGCCCACTAAATTGAGGTGGACATGCCAAGATGCATTTTTCTCTCCTCTTACACCCTATCATTCTTCTCCTTTAATCTCCTCTCTTTCTCATCTCCTTCTCCACCTGTCTCTAGGCTCCTGGAAGGCCCCACCATAGTGTTGTCAAATGCTCGGTAATTTGAGTACTAATGTTAATGATATTCCCCCTCACCCACCACATCCAAATTCCACGTGTACTATTTCTTTAAGTCAACTCACTTTTTCATTTAAAATTTTAAAGTCTAGCTATTAATGTATATAGCACTGCTTTAAATTTAAAACCAGTTTTCTTGCCATAAATAGACGACTCCCTTAAAAATATGAAAACCAAAATATATGGTAATGAAATTTTAGTTGGATATGGCTGATTGCTGCAGGCCTCTTGCCTGAATCCTGCTGTTAGGTTAAGAAATGCTGGAGAGGTGTTAAAGATAAGAGCTCAAAGCGAGACTTGATCCTTGAATAGAGACATGGAAAGAGGACTGAAGAGAGCAACTTTCTCATTTATTTATTTTTTTTCAATGTCATGTCTACATATCACTTAAGCGTTTCCCACTTTGGGAAATACCGCTTTGAGTTTTAAATTCACAAAAGGAAAATGTTTGTTGAAATCTAATAGGCTTCATCCCATTTCTTTCAAGAACTGAGTACATTATTTGCTAACTGCACTCAAAAACTTTTTGCACATTTTTTCTCATTACTTGTGCACAGCTTTTGACCAACTACCAGAGAAAGTTTCGGATACAGCACTCGTTCCTATGGATCACAAAATGTGGCCTCTGAATGGGACTTTAGACGTCACCTATTCCAAATCTTGACACATCTCCATTTTCCCAAAAAGAGATTTGGGGTTCGAGGCCGAAGGCGACTTGCCCAAGGCCACAGAGTGGTCTAATGTTTCGGTTTCTGCAGCCCAGAGCACAAGCTATCTGTACCTCAAGAGGCTCGGTGAAACGTTGCCTGGCCTGCCTAAGGCCAAACTTCTCACCTCCACTGTGTTGTCCGCAGTTGCCATGGCAGCGGCTCATTGTTCCCGCCTCGTCTAGTGACGTCACTGGACCAGTGCCCAATAGGAAAGCAGCTCGGCGTCACGCCCCGCCTTTCCAGGGCGGCACCACCTTGGCGGTTAGGAGAAGGGTCGCGGGTGCGGGGGAGGCAGGCTCGGGTCGCGGCTGCGGCGAGTTACACCGTTTCCGATCTGTCACCGTCGGCCGCCGCCCGAGACGGAGCCAGAATGTTCAGGATGCCGGGCAGCAGCTTTGAGGATGATCCTTTCTTCTCGTGAGTGTCGCGGCCAGGATCCCGCCGTTGCGCGGGAATTCAGGGATCTTGAGGGGAGCTATGTTAAGGGAAAAGAACGAGTTTTAGAGCGCGAGAGGGAATAAGGGGGTCTACGGGACGCGGTTTGAGGGAGAGGAGGACTTGGGGGCATGGGGGAGAAGGGAGAGGAGGATCTGAGGCCGTGAGGGTTTGAGGCCGAGGGAGGTGGGTCTGGGGGCGTGAGGCGGGGAGAGGAGGGTCTGGGGACGTGAGGCGGGAAGAGGAGGGTCTGAGGGTCTGGGGACGTGAGGAGGGGAGAGGAGGGTCTGGGGACGTGAGGCGGGAAGAGGAGGGTCTGAGGGTCTGGGGACGTGAGGAGGGGAGAGGAGGGTCTGGGGACGTGAGGCGGGAAGAGGAGGGTCTGAGGGTCTGGGGACGTGAGGAGGGGAGAGGAGGGTCTGGGGACGTGAGGCGGGAAGAGGAGGGTCTGAGGGTCTGGGGACGTGAGGAGGGGAGAGGAGGGTCTGGGGACGTGAGGCGGGAAGAGGAGGGTCTGAGGGTCTGGGGACGTGAGGAGGGGAGAGGAGGGTCTGGGGACGTGAGGCGGGAAGAGGAGGGTCTGAGGGTCTGGGGACGTGAGGAGGGGAGAGGAGGGTCTGGGGACGTGAGGCGGGAAGAGGAGGGTCTGAGGGTCTGGGGACGTGAGGAGGGGAGAGGAGGGTCTGGGGACGTGAGGCGGGAAGAGGAGGGTCTGAGGGTCTGGGGACGTGAGGAGGGGAGAGGAGGGTCTGGGGACGTGAGGCGGGGAGAGGAGGGTCTGGGGACGTGAGGCGGGGAGAGGAGGGTCTGGGGACGTGAGGCGGGGAGAGGAGGGTCTGGGGACGTGAGGAGGGTCTGGGGACGTGAGGGTTTGAGGCTGAGGGAGGAGGGTCTGGGGACGTGAGGGTTTGAGGCTGAGGGAGGTGGGTCTGGGGGCGTGAGGAGGGTCTGGGGGCGTGAGGGTTTGAGGCTGAGGGAGGAGGGTCTGGGGGCGTGAGGAGGGGAGAGGTCCGAAAGGCTCCCTTACACACTGTCTGGGTGCTGGTTGCTCTCAACTTGGCCCGACTTCGGGTGCCCCTCGGTGGCTTCCTGCGTTTGGAGTCCGCCATCGCAGCTGCAGGGGCTTGCAGGTGACCGTAACTGCCATCTAGGTGAAACTTCTGGTTCAGGTTATGCTCGCGGGACCCTTTCCACGCCCGTTTTAATTCTAGGTCGGGGTGGGGGATGGCAATTCCTTGAAAATGGAAACGTTTTTAAAGCAGCATTTTTCATGTGAGGGAAGGATGTGTCTGTGGAGGGCTGTGCCTCTGTCACGTGGAAGTGGTTGGAAGTTGCCATGTGCCCTGTTTGTTTTCTTCGCTTGCTTTGTTATGAAGCTCGCCTTGTTTGGAAAGGGACTCCTCTTTCTTTCAAAAGTACAAATAGGGCAGGAAAGCAGAGAAGTATATTTAACATCCCAGGCCATCAAGTGCAATTACCCTGTGAAGGGTTCCAAGTGAAATAATGTGATGCCCTAGAAGAAGGCATCCAGAAAGTTTCACTGTGATCTAAGTTTTCTGTTTGTTTTTTTAAGTTAATTCTTTCTTTGTTATAAAAACGTAGTAACATAATCTACTCGGACCCCTAAGACAGGAAGCTTTGTGATACTTTCTTTTGCCCAAGTGTTTTGCCAGTTTGGATTTTGATTTGGTGTCCTAATTTATTTTGATCCCTTAAGTTCTGTATCTATGCCAGTTGGGGACCATTTTTTAAAAAGGTTAAAATGTTGACAGTTCACTGCACAGATTTTTTTAATGTTTTTAAAGAAAAATGTTATTTTTAAAGGATTAAAATTTAAGATTAAAATTAAAAATTTTAAAGAAAAATGATATATTGCTTTAAATGTGTTATTGCTAATGTAAAACCAACTAACAAAACTAATAACTGAAAAGAAACGAACAATATAAAAAATGAAATGATTAATATAGAAAAAAATCAAATGATTAACACTTTTTCTTAAAGGTTGTTCGTTGTTATTAAGTGGTATATGGACTCAGGCAAATTTATTAGGCTGTTTTAGTTAACTTGTTTAGGATCTGTTGTGATATTTATGATCAATGTTATTTTAACAAGTTTAAAATATTGTATTATTATGATTTTCTCCTTTAAAAAGCCTGTGAAAGTAGGGACTAAATATATCCATAGATGAGTTGAGCTGCTGAAGTGCTTATGTAAATGTGACATCAGTACAATGGGTAACAGTTAAAAAGAGTACGATAGACAATTTTTGAGTTTCATATCCTTGATTATACCAAAAGGAGCAATTACTATCTTCTTTAAAACCTCTAGCAGAAGTGTAATTTAAACTCTTGGGTGACTCTCTGAGCAAAGGCAATGAACCCAGGAGTCAGGATCAGAAATAGTAACAGACCATAAATAGCAGGGGTACATCAAAGAACACTCTAACTCTGTACTTAGGAAGAAGAGGAACCAATAGTTATACATCAGTCGGTTTTCAGTCATCACTATCTCTGTACCCTTCTTCAAACACAGGCAGCCATATCATAAAAACTTAAGATAAAATGATGATAATTAACTTTATAAAACTGATTCATACTTATAATTTATTTTCTCTACAATTAATTACATATAGAATAAACATACTGTTTTTTTCTTTTTTTTTTTTTTTAAAGATGACTGGTAAGGGGATCCAAACCCGTGGCCTTGGTGTTATCAGCACCACACTCTCCCAAGTGAGCCACAGGCCAGCCCTAGAATAAACGTGCTTTTGAGGGTAAAGGAGGAAAGAGTTTATATTTATTTCAGGTAATCTGTCATATGATCCATCCCTTTTACCTAAACCCTGAACAAAATGAGTATCCATTATGTAATATAAGTCAAACATAAGAAATTCATAAAGGTGAAAATTTTCTTATTGAATCATCCACTGACCTTTGGAACAAGGAAGGGAATTGGAATACATAGCCCATGCCCACCATCTTTTATATAAATATTGTCCCTGTTGCTAACATTGTGCCTGGTCATTGGGTTCCCTAGTGGCTAGTTTAACATAGGAAGTATTTAATAGATATTGTTTAATGATCCTCTGGTGTCCTTTATGCTGTCTCTTGTAGTTAATATGATATTTAGTTGATTGCTGAAAGTAATGATTATTTGCATGCAACAAATGCCATTGTTGATGTTGACGTTTTCTAATTAGGAAACCATTTTCTAAATAATCCATTAGTCCACAATCAAGGATAGTCATGTAAGTACTCTGCTAATTTACTGATTATTCAAAAGTGGACAGACAAAAAATATATACTTCTTGGATATATAATGGTCAGCTTGTTAAACGGTTAACATCGGAGTAAAAAAAAAATAATTAAAATCTGTACTTTCAAATTCAAATATATCCAGTTTCAGTGTTTGCCTTCTGATAACAGCATATTTTAAATGTTTCATCGGAAAATTAAAGGGAAACTTTAAAGATATTTTAAAATTTGGTGTTTTATTACATATTTGAGATTTTTTAAAACTTTGGCATCTTATGTCTCAGAGCTGAAGTTATTTCAGTGAAAATCTACCTTACAGTATTTTCAGGTATACCTTCTTAAATAATACTTGTAACTTGGTTAAAAACACAAAGGCTAAAAGATGGCACTTCCTGGCATGCAATTTTCTCTCAAGAATACTAATTTTCCCTCACACTTGTATTTGCTTGAGAATATGTATATGGCTAAGTAGGAATGTATAGACAGGAAAATTAAAATGATTTTGGCATCTATCCGATACCCTAAAGAACATTGATTATTTAGTATAAAAGTTTAGATATATCTAGTATGATCCAGAATTATCTGCTTGGTATGGAAATCTACTAAGCTACAGTAATGACATTCTGATCAGGCAAGTCTATAAAGAATAAGCTACATTACCACTTATTAGCTCTTAGAGATTAAAGGCTCAGAAGCAGGCCAGCAAATCTATCAGTCTTATTTGTAATCATAAATTATTGTTATCTTTTCCTTAAACCACCCAACTCTTCATATGTGTGTCATATGTGTGATGACCAGTCTTTGATCAAAGTACCCCTGCATATATTCACAGAAAGTGGCTCTTTCCATCTCCTTACTCTCATCAGGAGCTAAAACTTACATACCTATAATCTCTATCTCTAAATTTTTTACAAATTTGTATTTATTTATTTTGCATTTTGGAGGTAGTTGGATTTATTAAAGACACTGCTTTGACCTATCCACTGACTGAGTTGAAAGTGAGTGTATATTCCATGTACAAGGCATGCATAGACTGTTTTCTTGGTTGAGAAAATTCTCATAGCAGGAAATAAAGCAAAATCACCTTTGTTAGATAAGTTTTTGTGAACAGTATTCAAGCTACTTACATATTTGTTTCAGACATATAGTCTGAGGTGATGTCTTCACCAAGACGTCATAGATTAGTTCTTATTAGTATTCTGCCACATATACCTCTCATTCCAATCATTGAATAAAGGTAGCTTGAGAATGCTCAGCTAAAATTTATGTTAGGACCCACAGTATCTACTGTGATTTTTAGCAGGTACTGTAATTATTCTCAGAAATATTTTAATATAAAAGTTTCTTATAAGTGAACTTTGCAGATTTCAAGGTCATATTTGATAGAATGAGGCACTATGAATCTTGAATTGGAGGAAATTCTCAGACTATTCATTTGGGGCATTCTTTGGTTCTTTAGGTAAAATCCATTGAGTTAGGAGCCAAAGAGCCCAACATGACTATGGAGTAGTTGCTGAGTCAAGGAATGCCATTTGATAGCCACTGTTCATGCAATAATGCCTAGTACTGTCAGTAAATATTATAAATATCTAGGAAAAAGGAGGGAAGTACTTATAAGATGGCAGAGGGCATAGTCATTCTTTTTTTTTTTTTTTCCTTTTTGTCTTTTTTCGTGACCGGCAACGGATCGCAACCCTCAGTGTTGCGCCCGCACCTCGCTCAGCCAGT